TCTAATAGCTTCTTGTTACTACTAGTAAGGCACTTGTTACTACTAGCGCGGCACTTGTTACTACCAGTAATAAGGAAGGCACCAGAAGGGATCTCCGATGCGGTGCGCCGTGCCTGCTCCACCTCGCTGGAGCCCAAGCGGACGGAGTTCTGCACCTGACGTGACATCGTGGTTCGGCGTCCTTTCTGTTTCTTTTGACCCTCCCCACCGGATAGCAACGGCCTCCCACCTAATAGCAACCTACCATGCAATAACCGTTTCCTTGCTTTTTGTTCTTCTTTCAACTTTTAGATGGACCTGTCTCTGCTTCCTTTCTTTCATCTTCATTCAAGAAGCTATCAACTAATAGAGGGTGCTCAACAAATGTGGTGATCGAACGTTGTGCTTGATCAAGGGTAGAACCTGACTGCGCAGAGGTCCACACCTCCCACACACCTGGAACGCCCAGGTCGGAGCAGGGGCAGAGCTGCGCCTCAACTCGCGGCATGGTCCGTTTTGCGTTCGACCCCTGGATGAACGTCGAGTATGTGGAACAGCACGTGTGGATGCTGCCGTGTGGTATCTGGATGCTGCATCCACCTGACCACACCATCGAAACCCTCACTATATACAGTGTGATCTGAAATCTCTCTGGTTTGGTGCCGAAGTGCTAGAAGCTGCTTCTGAAGCTCACTCCTCATCTTCAAAACATCAACCTCAGCCTCTCAGCCTCCTCCCGCTCTCACGCTCTCACCCCAACCTGAAGCTTCAGCTGCTGGCACAAGGTGCGGAACCTAGGCACATGACTTTGCACAAGGCGAAGATCTCAAGTGCGGCCATCAACACCATGCGTAACTCGTCGAAAACACCTCGGAAGCTCCATGCGCCTCTCTTTAGCTGGAGGCCACCTTTCTCCACGTCTCAGAGTTCCCAACTCTCAGAGTCTCAGTGTTCCTAGTAGCTTATTGTTTTTAATAGCTTCTTGTTACTACTAGTAAGGCACTTGTTACTAGAAGCGATGCACTTGTTCCTAGTAGCGAACAGTGTTTCTACTTTCTCCACGTCTCAGAGTTCCCAACTCCTGCTTCTGACTCAGCAAGGGAATGCGGATCGCCATGCCTCACGCCGCACGCAGTTCTGTCCTCTGTTACGTCCGTAGCGAGGCCAGGTGAGCGCCCCGATCGGTTCGCGTCCGAACGCTCCTAGTAGTCATGCCCTTGTTACGTTCGTAGCGATGCACTTATTCCTAGCAGCTTATTGTTTCTACTAGCTTCTTGTTACTACTAGTAAGGCACTTGTTACTAGTAGAGATGCACTTAGTTACTACTATCGGGAGTTGGCCGTTTCCTCTCACAAGTCGGCCCCAGTCGAACAGAGCTCCCCCGCTGGCAATCATGCAAGTTCCAAGGAGAGCAGGATCCGAGCCCAGATAGCCTCCGACGGTTCGCTGCGAAAGGCCATACTACTAGGAGCAAAGGGCATCGCTACTACGTGGTTCCATGCACCACGTGGAACATCGCCATAGCTTCTCCCTTTCCCGTGAGCCGAACTTGTGTAGTTCCATGTCAATCCTTACGCCAGCTGGTGCTGTCAATGGTCTCAACGCACCACATCCAAGTTGAATAAAACCATTTGTTGATCTGTGATCTTCCCAACATCTTCCCATTCTGAATCAAACTCCCTCGTCCAGTTCTTCACGTGCAGCCTAAGCGAGAATTGTAGGCGAAGCCCACGCCCCTCGAGTCCAGCGCGGCCTGGCGGAAAAAGAACTTCCAGGATAAACTGAGTTGGGAAAGTCTTCAGCTTGGATTCAATGCAGCTTTCTTTGATAAGGTGTACGGTATATCAAGGTGAATTGGATCCTGAGATATTATACGTAGCAGTGCCCTGCAAGTGTGTTTTGATGTTGCTGGCGGATTGGTGTCTGCCCCATGTAGCAAAAAGTGGCCTCACCTCCCAACCTAGAAGCGATGGCCTCCACGCGATGGCTAGTGGGTTGGAGGCCATTGGTAATGAGTTGCATCTGTTCATTTGGAACAAACGGAGCGCGTCGATGCAGACTGTTGACCTTCCCCCTCCAGGCTACGCGCCCGCCTCCAGGGCGTTCAGCGTGTCGAAGACCCGAGTAAACCTGGCCCCAGGCAGCCAGTTGGGTGGGTGCGGCAGAATGACTTTTTCTACGTTCGTAGCGTCCTTGTTACGTCCGTGGCGGCCAGGAGCACCCCGTTCGTCGCGTCCGATCGCTCCGTTCGTTGCGATGCCCTTGTTACTAGTAGCTTCTTGTCAAGAGGAAAGAGGAAAAGAAGAGGAAAGAGCAAAAGGATGAAAAGTGAAAAGATGTGAAAATGCATAGTTGCAGAATAACAATAACCCCTGGCTCCCCCACGCTCCGGCGAAGGTTCGTAGATTTTGGCATTTCGGCGAAGTTCGACAAAAGACAATCCAATAGGCGCTGTACACTGTACGTGAGGGTTTTGAACGCTCGCCGCTGCAAAGCACTTACAGTTCAACTTGGCTTCAAGAAATGCTTTGGAAAAGAGGCCTCAAGCTCCTCTCCCAGAAGCTGTGCCAATATTTGGGTTTGTGCCTAAGCATGTTCCCGCTTCACGCCCAAAGTCGCTTGGACCAGAGTCCCAGCGCCAGCCCAAGCCCAAAGATCGTGGCCACTTCCACCAGGCGCCGTGCGCCCTCGCCCTCCGTGCCCTTCGCACAGTGCGGTCGCCCCGAACGATACTTGGGATACCTCGGTCGAAGAGGCGATGAGATCACCCATGTGCTTGGAAGGTTTACTTGTTGGACGCAGGAATCGGAGTCGGCATCCACTTTGCTGCATGGCTAAGTTCCAACATGTGTTCATAGGGCAGGATGGGATTGTAGCCCTGAAAAAGGAGTACAAAAGGCTCCTGAAAAAGCCCCGAAATCTCTGGTGAGAAACCTCTTGTCTGGCCATGTGGCCATCCGTTCGAGTGTGGAGGGCCAAACAGCGCCAACTCCGGTGCCCCCTGCATGGCGGTTCATCCCGCCTCAGCATCTGCTCAGGTGGCCTCAACGAGGAGTCGTGGTTGTTCACCGGCGGGCCATAGACGCGGGTGATGGGGATGATGCCAGCCCAAAGGTTCAGGTTCTCAATGTCCTACGCGACGAGGGTGCGGGTGCAGGCCATCGCTAGGTGGTGCAGGCCATCGCCGCTAGGTTGGTTGGTTGGAGATTCAACAAAGTCCTCAAGCAAAATGCCGGCAGAGGCCATCACGAGGCTTTGCTGGGGTGTGCGGGAGTGCCAGTCTGTGATCCTCTTCTTCCCAAAAAAAATGCTCAGGTCGTCATTGAAAGGTCACGGGAATGGTGAGGTTAATTACCCCAAGCTCGTTCCAAAAGGAACCAAAGGACTTCACACCGTTCACACCAACAACTCGAGTCTAAGAAGATCCCTTTGGTTCGGATCTGAAGTGGGCAACTCCTGCAAATGGCCTGACGAAACTCCAGGGGATCGGATCTCCTTTGTGATCTCTTCTCATTGTTTTTGGAAAAAGTGAAACGACGGATTGAGCACCTAGCAGGACCTAGCCATCCTACGAGCGATGGCCTCCAACAAACGCCGAATTCGAGAGCTGCTGACACTCTTCTTCTCTGCCGCTCCTCTCCTGCTTCTCCCGCTCCACCTCTCCCTACCTCTCCTCCTTGTCGTCATTTGCACCTTCCGCGCGGACCTTTGCACTGACCTTCCCATCCTGAGGACATCAAAACAACTCCATTCATGATTGCACTCGTCACTCCTTGCAAGGCATTTCAGACATGTCAGACCTTCGAAAACCGTTCAGCACTGTTCTTGCACACCCGATTCAAAAAGGATAACACAAGGCGCTTTAGGAGCAAAAACGCTACTAGGAGCAAAGGGCATCGCTACTAGGAGCAAGGGCCTTACTACTAGGAACAAGAAGCTATTAGACACAATATATAAATTAGAATTTAATTAGAAACAATAGTGAAATTAGATGAAATTAGAATCAAATTAAAATTAGTCACCCGATCCAAAAAGGATAACACAAGGACCTCCTCCCTTCAGCGCTTCAGCGCCTCCAACTTCAACTTCAGAACTCGCGTGCTTTGCACCTCTGCGCTGGTCATCGGCCGCAGCTGCGACGCCCAGCCCTCACCTGCTGAGTGGTCCACGATGAGGTCCAGCGCTTTCCACTTCGCGTCGCCCTCCAACTCCTCCGAGTCAGCGAAAAAGTCGTCCCAAGGAAAACACCCAGAAGCGATGGCCTCCAAGCTACTAGCCTAGCAATGGCCTCCAACCTATAATAGAAAAAAGGCCAATGACTCGTGCCAGAAAGTTGGCACATGCTTTTCTAGAAAAGGTTGGGCGGCTAGTTCCAGTTTTGATGTTCAAGCTGCTCAGGTGGGCTTGCCCCCTCTGCAGTTGCCGAATTCAAGATGTTGTGCTCTCCACAGTCTTCGCCGTCTTTGTCTCAACTCGTTTTCTTTTGCTCCTCGGCCTTGCCGTGGACCATCACACAGCGGTAGTTCATGCTGGAGTGCATGCCTAGAATTGAAGTGAAACCAAACAAACAGAACAACCAGCACAAAGAGAGGAATCAGGGATAACTGCTGACTGATATAGATATAGATCTTAGTGTCATTTGCATCCAACGCTTTCGTGTTTCTCATAAAACATGTCTTCGTCTTTTCACGAGCAAGATGGCATCAAATGGCCTGAACGCGCAAGCACCAAGCCATCCTCCAGAGTCATGCAAAAACAAACGTCAATGCTACCTTAGCAACGCGCGGCCGCCGCAGCGTCGCGCAAGCATCACCTGTTGCCAATCTGATGGAAAGAGAAGGCAAATCGTCCGAGGCCTTATCACATTCGCCAATGAAGCCCTGAGAGGCCACCATTTGGAGCTATGCTCGCCTCACCTTCTCCTGTTAGTGTCAGGTTCGGTGATCGACCTTCAAAAGGCCAACAAGGCCACCTCAGGTAGTAGCCAACACCAGGAGTGTACCCCACAACTTTCTTTTCTCATCTTTTTTTGCACGCCTTTTTTCCGGCAGGGTGCCGTCACGAGAACCACGCACGAAGGTCTTGTGACCCCAGGTGGACACAGCGCTTCTTCAGCTTGGTGTTCAGCTCCACCATGTCGTCCTTGATGCGGCCAGCTCCGCCACAACGAGTGCACCTGGCCATGCTCCCTTTGCGGCTCATCGTGTGAGAAGGGTGGCCACTCCATAGTGAAGCTTCCAAAGGGCCAACAAGGCACGGACTGCCAACGAAATTGCTGAAGGCTTCCTCATTGCACCTGGCTAAAATGTAGCTGGCACATTCGGAGCATCGGAGGTAAGCTTTGTCAAGCCTCAGGTGATGTACTCCCTGTTGGACACCGGACTGTGCAGCTATCAGCTCATCAATCACTTGGAAGCGGGTCTTCCGGTTCGGGGAGGGTGTCACGGCCATGTCGCAAGTGGAATCCAAAGCTGCCCGGAGTTCACCTATCAGGCTCTTGGCGTGAAACCTCTGCTTGCACTGAATGCAACGAACGCCGGTGCGGTATGCTTGCCATGAGTGGCCTCCCCTTGTGGAATGCTGCTCCAACTGTTGAAGAATGAGCCTTTTCTGCTCAATCAAGGGCACTTTCTGCAGAGAGTCAGCCGGTTGTGTCTGATGCAGGAAGTGGGTCTTGTCCTTGAGGAGGATGTTCATCCTGGTGGCAGCGACACAAAGGACATCCCTGGTGTCTTCATCAATGTGACGCTGAAGATCCAAGATCTCTTCATTGCGGGATTGTTTGGCAAAGGCCCGAGCTAGCTTGTCTGCATCTTGCTGGAAGATCAAGCGATTTGTATTGGTGTCCTCTTCCTTCTTGCCAAACAGAAGGGGTCGAACTTGAGCAAAGTCCTCTGGATCCAAACCCTGGTAGAGGTCAGGGAACTGAACAAAGGCCTCAGTGGGCTGCCACGCCTTCCAGATGCCATGGTCATAAATGGCCACAGCGACCCTCTCCTTGCTGTGAAGTGCAAGATGCTTGAGACCATAGAAAAGGGCCCTGGCCCGAGTGGCTTGGCCCGGGCAAATGCTCTTCAGTGCCGCCACCCTCTTTTTGGAGAAAACCTGGTGCAGGCAAAGCACAAAGACGAACCGCTTGTGGCGGGCATCTCGACAAGTGGGGGCCACCGCCAGAGAAACAGCATGACCCGATGGAATGTCAAAGGCCGCCTGAGTCGTCCAAAGCCTTTCATTCTGGAAGGTGCCCATGCCTCCTTCTTGCAGGTAAAAAATGGATTGCACCGTGCCCCTCTGCCATAGCTCCGGCTCCGTGCCCGCCTCGAGCCGCTGCTTCCACTGATCCGGAAGGGCCTTGACCTTGCCGTTCCAAAACTTGCTCTGCCACAGAAGGTGGACGAAAGTGAGTTCATCGCCACAGAGTGGACAATGGCCTCGCTGGCCATGCAGGGTGCCTTGATGAAGAGCTCGAAGGGCTGGCCCGTTGTGGCCGTCATCCATCTTTTGCAATGTGAGGCTGACTTGCCAATCTAATGGCCTTTCTAGCTCGTGGCACCCTTCATACCGGGTCAAACGAAGGAGGCGTTGCCAACGGAACTCGGTCTGCAGCTTGAATAGAAGCTCCGGCCAACACTCGTCCAATTTGAGCACACAGTCTGGGATCCCTCCATAGCCTGTTCGTTTCCAAGCTTTGCCATCAGAAAGATCGAAGTCATAGTCCAGGAGGTAGGCCTGCAGAGCTTGGAGGGGGCCACTGACAACCTGCCATCGATATCGGACCCTCTGCAAGGCGCCCAGCGCAACGCGCCAGCTAGTCCAGAAAAGGTGTTGAGTTCCCTCATCAAAGGAGTGGTAAACCTTCCAGACCGAATGGAGATGTTGCTGAATGATGGAGTCACCCGGATCAGTGTGTTGAGGATGTGTATCAAACACCACATCAACTGAGCCTGACCGCTGCAAACCCAGACTGCGGGCCGCCATCACCCGGATGTATTGCCGCCTTTGTGGAGCTAGCCCTGAGGCCTGAGCCCCCCATGACATCACTGGATGGATTGCACTTTTGTGGATGCGATGGCTGATGTTCCGTTGCAGCTTCAACCGTTGAAGAATGCCCGCTCTGCCACGCCCCTTGAGAAGTCTCTTCTTGACCTGAGTGATCCTCCGGTGGCGGCTAGCTGTGGCGTCCACCCCCAAGTCTCTGAGTACATTGTGGCGCTGAGGGTCGTGCTCTTGTAGGTGGGTCTTCAGTGCCTTGGCGGTTTCCTTGCTGCTGGAGATGAAACCAGTCTTGTCAGTGTTGACCTTGAGGCCAGCTGCCATGAGCAAATCCCGAAGAGATCGATAGGCCAGAATGGCCTCTCTGGCGACATAATCCGGGTCAGTGCCACACACATCAAAGGAAACATCATCAACCCAAGTCTGAAGGGCCGCTGCCGGATGGGCTTTTTGAAGCTCCTTGAGAGGCCGGTAGAGGATGAGCTTGCTAATGGCAGGAGCTTGAGGGCAGCCCTGTAAGATGCCATGGGAGTAGTGCTTGGGATCCCCAGCAATGCCTTCGGCCTGAATCAGGCGCGGCCCAGAGTACAAATCCAAGGCCAACTTGAGGTGGACCGGCGGGTAGTTGAGCTCAGCTGCAGGCGCCAAGATGCTGTCCAGGCTGACGGTGTCATAGAAACAGGACAAATCAGCCAGGCACGTGACTGTGTGGACGCCTTGGTGCTTGCGGATTTCGGACTTGAGCAGGCGGCCCGCCGCAATGGAGAGGCAGTCCCGCTTTGGTCGGGCTTGATTTGAAGGGAGGTCATCATCCAGGGTCATCTGCCATCGTTGGATGTCATACTTCCTGTAGGAGTTCCAGACACGGTAGAGGCAGGACGTCAGAGCAATGGGCCTTTCCACTTTGGAGGACTTGGGGATGAGGACGATGTTGGTGTACCTCAGTTGGGTAGGCAACAAGGCCTCCCTTTCCATCTCAGTGAGGAGCGCGCTCAATCTCTGGACCGCAGGAAAGGGCAGGTGCCTGAGCATATCGTAGGAGATGCCATCCGGTCCCGCAGCTTTGTTGGGGAGTCTGCGGAGAAGCTTCTGCAAAACCGAAGAATCGATGGGCTTCCACGTGAGAGCCTCCTGCTGAGCCAGGTCCCGCAGCTGCGCAAAACCCCGAATCTGAAGTGGTGCAGGGAGGGGATGCCAGATGTCTCCCCACTGTTGTTCACGAGCCTTGATGCGGTCCAATGCAGGCAAGTCCTGGAAAGGTCGCTCCCATGCTTGGTCCCTCTGGCGAAGGTTGCGGAAGAGACCCCGAAGACCTTTGTGGTGGGCAGTCTTAAGCCATTCTTGGAATTCAAGGCTGGTGGATTGGAGTGCCTGCTTCTGAGCAATGTGCTCCTGCTCTAAAATCTGAGCCCTGATGTCCCCCGGGTCTGAGGTGGGGGTCTCAAGCCATTGTGCCACCACCGCGACAAAGACATCAGCTGAAAAGTCCTCAGAGCAGAACTGATGGACATCCTGAAGCATATGCCGCACATCTTGCGTGACTCCTCGGTGCCCCGTATGGTGGACCACATTGATGCGGACATTGAGCTTTTCCCAGAAGGCAACAGTGCCCCGGAGCCACTTCCGTGAGGTGGATGCATCGACCAAAGGGGCAATGGTGAGGTGGATGTTGGAGCCCCGTCCCAAAGTGGGTCGGTGAAGCATCTGAGTGACATACTTCTCAGTCTGGGTCGCCCACCTGGCCAAGTCAGAGCCAAGGCCTGTGATGAGGTCGTTCATGATGTAGAAAGGGCCATTGTCCTCGGGAAAGCTCGTCCACTGATGTGGCAACTGGAAAGTGCGACCGATGGGTGGAAATCGCTGCAACTGCTGCACAGCTTGAGCTGGTTGCTCACAATCAAGAAAGAGCTGAAGTGCGCAGTGTGGCCGCCAAGGAACATCCCAACAAGCTTCAACTCGCACCGACCCTTGCAATGCATTGGATACCAGCAAGTAGTCCAACTGGCTGCCCTGCAAGGTTGTGGAACCCCCAGTGTCCAGGATGTGAGCCTTGAACTTGCTTTGAATAACCGTGGCTGCAAGCGCCGCAGGTTCGTTCTGCCAGTCCCCTCCAATGATGAAGGGAGCCCCCCAAATGATGCAAGAAGGCCATCAACTGACTGAGAATGAGAGCGTTGCTGTTTGATTGAAGAGTCTCCCCAGTCTTGAGGTAGATCTGAATGAGGAAAAGGAGGAGACCATCTCGCTGTAGGCCAATAGCCACCCATCCGTTGCCTTCATGAAGGTATTCAGCAGCCTGGTGGGTCAGGTGCTTGGTGGAGTGCAGGGTGAGAAAGCCCCCTGAGGTGCCTCCTTGCCCCGTCGGGTGAGCGGCTTGACCATAGGCCTTCCATCCCCTGTTGGAGTAGTATTGGAGGGCCTGCTTGGTGGCCCTTTCACTCATGTGGGTTTCATGTAACATCATGATGGCATCAGTGCGGGACCAGGTCCACTCCTGCACCTTGGCCCCGAAGTGGGTGACATTGCCATAGAGAATGGTGATGGTTTCATGAGCTTGTCGGGCCTTCTTGGCCGGTGGCCCCATGTAGTCAGCTTGCGTGTCCTCGACCAAAGTGTCTGGCGGTTCCTTGACAAGCCAAAGTTGGAGAACCTCTTGCCTGTGACGGCTGGTGAGCTCCTCAATGGGGACCGGGTAGTGGCCATCGTCCGCAAGCCACACCGCATTGTCCATCATCAAGAGGGATTGGTAATGCCCCGTTTGGTGATCGCAGCCCTGGTGAGTGACCAGAGCAACGATCCGGTATGCAGCCATGTGGACGTTCTGACCATCCTCTGAGAAGGGGAAGTTGATGTCCTGACCAAACTCCAACTCCCTGTCATGCTTTGTCCAAGTGTCGTCAACGAGCTGGAATCTTTGCAACTGGAGGACCAGCGCTTCCGGTGCGCCGTAGAGGAACTGTCCCCCATCTTCGTCTGCCCAGCTGGAGATCAGCTCGTCCAAGGAGATACACTGATCCCCTGGAGGGAAAATCAAGTTCAAGGGCATCTGTTCCCTGATTTCCAGAGGGCCTTGGAGCCGTCGGTGGTAAAACTTCCCTCCGTAGAAGGTGGACTCCGCCTGTGCCCACAAGAACCCCAGGAAGTCCGCCGCATCAGCCTGATGACCAGGCTGAAAGTGGGCCCAAATGCTTTGAAGGTCAGGATCAGCGGATAGGAGTTGACCTTGGGGTTCCGACAGACATCGCCGTACCGCCGGTTGGGTGTGACCCCAGGCTGTGGCCGTGTCCTCAGCGAAGGCCCCACTCCAACACCAACACCGGAAAGGTGCATTGCCGAAGCATAGGTTCTGGCCATCCGGGTTGTCCAAAATGGTGGTCAAAACCTGAGAGATCACATACACGTTGGCCAGAGGCGGCCTGAGATCTCCGTGGAGGCACAAATGCTGGTGAACCAGATTGTGCATGCGTCTCAAATCAGCCAGTAGTTGCTGTCCATGATGAGCCAAGCCAGTGTTCCGATATTGCTGACTTGATGCGATGAGATCTTGTTGGCACAAATCAAAATAGAAGACCTGATTGGAGTCAAGGTCCGAGGTATGCTCCGTCTCCATAGCTGAAAGCAGCACCTGAGCCAAAGAGGGGACTGGTGAGGTCCTGGAAGAAGCGGTGCCCCGTAGGGCCCGCTCTGAGGTAGAAGAGCCCAGTGCCTCACCCTCCCCAAGAAGCTCGGCGGGCTGCCGTGGGAGACTGCCTCCAAAAACTTTCAAAGAAGATCGCCGCCTCTGAGGCCCATAGCCCTCCAAACCCCGCGGAGAGGCCAAACTTGAGCCTGAAGCGGCCAAAGACGGTTGATTGTGAAAAGCCCCACAATCCAAGATAGAAACCCCTGCATGCTGTGCACATGACTGAGGACCCCCATGAAGTCTGTCAAGCATGCCACGCTGAAAGGGCGTGTTACCCGCAAGACTGGACATCCGAGACTTCCTTCTTGCGTCTCTTGGCCTCTTCGTCTGTTGAGGCTGGTGGTCGTTTCAGCATGCTCTGAAGCTGATTTTGCTGCTCCTCAGTCAGACTTACACCAAGGGTGGTGATAAACCCGGCAACGGCGGCAGGCACTGGGTCACCTGTCTCCGCATCCGGCAAAACTTCCAAATCAGTCTTTGCTGAGCTAACCAAAGTCATGTACGAGGCGCTGGTAGTGGTCAAAGCCTGCTGCTCGGTCTCAATCCTCCCTTGAATGGCTTTCATTTCATCCAGCAGATCTTGATAAGACCTCTTGGTGGAGTCAATCTTCTGCTGAAGATGGGACTTCTTATGTGAGAGATCCTTCAGGAGGGAGACCTGCGTTTTGAGCTTGGATGCAATGTCCGTTTCCGTGGGTGGAGAGGGCTTGGTCAGTTTCTCCACAAGCTCTCTGACCGGTGGTGGAAGCTGGGCCATGTTCTCCACCAGGACGTCCTTGAGGTCAGGATCCGGATTTGGTGGAGGAGGCTGGATGCCAAGATCTTGGAGCTTCTGTTTGAGGGCCTGGTCCAAAGAAGCCCAAGCCGGTGCCAAGGCCTCAGCAGTGGCCTTTTGGATGCGGGTCACCTTGAAGGGCTTGGGTCCAAGTCCCGGAGGAGGTTTGACTGGCATCTGCTGGCGTCCCGAACGTTGTGGTGATCTCTGGAGTACCCTTGAGGAGGGCAGGCCCACTGCTCGCCGCATCGCCGACAAACGAAGCCCTCCCTGATCTTGTCAGACCAAATCCAGTTGGAGCACCGATCACCGCCACATACGGTATACGCTCTGCAGTAGCTGCTGCCGCCCGAGACCATAGTGGATCACCCTGCCGACCACGATCAGGCCAAAGGCGCCGTCAAAGATGTGGTGACCGGGTACCGCAAGTCCCCCAGTAGCCGGAAGCTACTGAGCTTGAGGCTAAACAGCTTGAGCCTTCTTTTCTCATCTAGTATATTCGCTTTTCTATCTACACACTGCGGCATAGCTCCCAGGCTTTTGGTTACTACTAGTAAGGCACTTGTTTCTAATAGCTTCTTGTTACTACTAGTAAGGCACTTGTTACTAGTAGCGATGCACTTGTTCCTAGTAGCTTCCTACATACGCACGTGTCTTTTTCTCAGATGCCATTCCGCAAGAGCCCAGCGCTCAGGTGACCATGGAGGTACAGGGCATCGCCCGCACGGCCGTAGATCATCGGACTCACCTTGGGGTGGCCCTCTGCGTCCACGAAGGCCTCGGTCGCAGGGCAGGGGAGAACAAACAACCACAGAACGAAGGAAGGGCCAAGTGGTCTGGGAAGCTCGAGCTTTCGGGAGGACAACAGGTGCCACGCTACTAGGAACAGGTGCCTTACTAGTAGTAACAAGAAGCTATTAGACATTTTAAGTTAATTCTAATAGCTTTTGGTTACTAGTAGTAAGTTTGTATCGGGTCCCTAAAATCGAATGCCAACCGCTCGAGCGAACGACCGAGATGTGGAAATAGCTTGGTTCTCAAAACGTGGAGAGCTTGTGAGGCTCTCTGTTGAAAAACTTCGAGAAATGCCGTCTTTTTCCATTTGAGGTAAACGCCTAAAGATCTCCCCACCAAATCGCGCCATGTTCTGCCCAAGCACCACATGCGCAACCACCCCGGCATCCAGGATCTTGGCCACCAGTTCCTTGTCATAGCTCCCTCTCTTGACCGATCGATGCAACTTGGTCAACTGGCTCTGAGCATACGCCATGGCCTTCGTCCAAAAGACAGAGAGACCTGGTGCTTGAGGGTTGTTGGAATGAGAATGCAAAAGATGCAGATCTTCATGTGGTCCATTTGTTTACATTTCTCATCATGCTGTGCGTATGTTTTTGTTATCAAACTCACATGCAAAAAAACGCGGGTTCGAGCTTTGAGCACTTGCTTCCAGCAACATCTTGCGATGATCATCAACAAAGTCTTATTCAAACTGGAGACCTACAACTGTCGGTGCAATCTCTCAGCAACACCTTCCTGATTACAGAGCTGCATCCATTTCCCGACAGAAATCCGCCCACAAAGAACATGTGACGCCAGCGTGAGCGGCGTCACCCCACACTCCGAATGTGGGAAGCAATCGCTTCGCGACGCCAAGTGTGTCGGGCGGGCGTCTTTTTGAGGCTTGGTGTGCCGGACTTGTCCAAGGCATTCACGCAGAGATGGTCCAGCTGGCGACAGAGGGAGAATCCCGTGGGAACGGGAAGAGTCAGTCCCGTCCGCGCGAGAAAAGACCACCGTCCGCAACAAGAGAAGCCCAAACTCGGACCAACAGAGTTGGATCTTCTTGAAGTACTTTCCGTTCTTGTCATCCAAAGGTTCAAAGGGTCTTTACTGACCTCATTCAGTGAGGGACTCACTTTATGTCCGTATACAACATCTAGTAGGTGGACACGGGACGAAAAACTACAACTATCATGCAGAGGTTGCATTAAGAATGTCTTGGACTGCACCTTAGGTCTTGGACTCACATGAACTAACACCTGCAGCTGTGCCCCTCTGTCCCTTCTCCCGTGATCCACCAACCTCGTTCACATAGATGCCCCACGTGCGGTCTCTGCTGGCAAAGACTCCGCGGGCGTCGGGCCTCGGTCGCAGAGCGAGCAACCGGTGCAACAGGACGCTACTAGGAGCAAAGGGCCTTACTAGTAGCAACAAGAAACTAGTAGTAACAGGTGCCACGCTACCAGTAACAAGTGCCTTACTAGTAGGAACAAGAAGCTACTAGGAACAAGTGCCACGCTAGTAGTAACAAGTGCCTTACTGTAGTAACAAGTGCCTTACTAGTAGTAACAAGTGCCTATTATAATTAGACTTTCTCTCACCGGCTTCAACCG